TTTCCTGTTTCCTCTGCCAGTGCCATCACACCCCCGGAGGTTAAATGTCACTGATAATTGGTTCCTTTTACATCACATCAGTAGATAATACACCCATTTCACAAGCGCGGTTTACGAGGTCCTGAAGTAATATGCAACATGGTGCATGCTTAATATATTATAGCTATTTGATGAAGAAGTTCTGGACGTTTAGTCCTGCAATACACAGCTGTCATAGAGACAGTGTTCATCCATTCAGATGGAAAATGCCTAAACTAGAACATGCTTCAAAACAAGTCAGTCTATAGCCAATGCAATGGCTCTCTCTAGTGGACATGGAGTTAAACTCTTTATTATTAATTTTGATTGTTTGTGGTGTTTGCTAAGGTTGAACGTGCGAGGATTCCGGTGTCATTCACATACAGTTATATTTAGCTGTACATTGAAAACTGGTATTTATTATCAGATTATTTGAATGTATTGTCTTAATTATAAACACACTGGTTTGTAGTGTATTCATTTTTTTTGCGTTTAGTGCACTTTGTTATTATTCTAGTTATTTTCTAGCGGCCAATGAACCAGAAGTCTCGCACATTCACAAAAAAATAGCTTACATTTGCGATGCAAAATAAGGAGAATATCAGAAGAAAACAGTCCTGAATTTGCTTTCAGAAGAATCTTGAAGCATTATTTGGCCTTTTAAAACCAATTCCAAACAGATGTATAACCCCTATTCTAGAAAAGCTGGGACGTTTTGTGAAATGCCATAAAATGAAGAATATGTTATTTGTCATTCTCTTTAACCTTTGTTTAATTGACTAAAGGATAAAGAAGAAACAATCCATTGTTTTCACTGGCCAACTTAATTTTATTTTGCAAATATAAACAAATTTTGATTTTGATGGAGGCAAGTCACTCTGTCACATTAACTTTCCTTTTAATTACAATGTTCAATTGTTTGGGAATTGAGGATAGTAATTGGTAAAGTTTTGCAAGAAAAATTCTTGTCCAATCTCGCTTGATACAAGATTTCAGATGCTCAGCATATCTATGCCTCCAATATATGCCTCCATGTCAATGGTACTTTCGAACATATCACCCATGCTGTTTGCACTGATGCACCCCCATATCATGACAGATGTTTGCTTTTGCATCGGTCTCTGGTGAAAATCTGGATGGTCGCTTTGGTCTTTGGGACTGAGAATTTGATTTGTTTTTTTTCCAAGAACAAGCTGAAACATGGACCCATCTGACCACAGCACACATTTCCATGCGCTGTCTTTTTGACTGTCTGAGAGTAGCTCTCTTGACGGCTTCTTATGCAATGCCATCTGAGGTCATGCATATTCATTTGATGGCAAAGATGCTCCTTTTACCCAAACATGATATCAATTCACCTGCTTACTGTGAACTGTTTCAAAACAGTTTAATTTGGATATTCTATAACCTTTTCACTTTTATTTTGCCTCTGTCCCAACTTATTTGGAGTGTGTTGCAGTCATCAAAATCAAAATGTATAGTTTATATTTACAAAATACATTAAAGTTGGTCAGTGAAAACTTTGGAAATATTTTCTTTGTACTTTTGTCAATTAAACAAAAGTTAAAGAGAATTAACAAATCACAGATTCTTGATTTTGTTGCATTTTACAAAACATTCCAACTTTTCTGGAATTGAGGTTGTAAAATTAATCAAATTAAAATAAAGTTCTTATTCTTTTTTTTCATAAGTTAGAAAATAAGAAGAAACAGCAAAAAAAAAAAAAAAATTCTTAAGAATGTTGGGGCTGGATTCACAAACATCTTCTCGAGAAAGAAGATAAGAAATTGCTTAAGATAAAGGAGAAGAAAGTTCTCAACTAGCCTATTTTCCTAAAAACTTCAGAATAATCCTGAGGTATTATTTCACATTTAAAAACTAATGCTGCACAGATAAATTAATAATATAAAATGAGTTAACACTAACACTAATATTTGGTCATTTAAATTAATTGTCTTGTATGTTTGTTTGGCTTCCTATGTGGTTGTAAGAGCAGTCAATATGTTTGTTTTGATCATGTGAACTAATAGTTGTCACACTTAGTTTGATATTTTTAATACTTAAAGCACTTTTACACTTTGTTTGATATTTTTAATATTTAAAGCATGAGGGTCAGAGTATATGTATATAATATCATTCACAGTGCATCCGGAAAGTATTCACAGCGCTTCAATTTTTCCACATTTTGTTATGTTACAGCCTTCTTCCAAAATAGATTAAATTCATTATTTTCCTCAAAATTACAAAAAATACCCCATAATGACAACATGAAAGAAGTTTGTTTGAAATATTTGCAAATTTATTAAAATAAAAAAAAAAATCACATGTACATAAGTATTCACAGCCTTTGCCATGACACTAAAAATTGAGCTCAGGTGCATTCTGTTTCCACTGATCATCCTTGAGATGTTTCTACAACTTGATTGGAGTCCACCTGTGGTAAATTCAGTTGATTGGACATGATTTGGAAAGGCACACACCTGTCTATATACGGTCCCACATTTAACAGTGCATGTCAGAGCACAAAAGCCATGAAGTCCAAGGAATTGTCTGTAGACCTCCGAGACGGGATTGTATCGAGGCACAGATCTTGGGAAGGGTACAGAAAAAATTCTGCAGCACTGAAGGTCCCAATGAGCACAGTGGCCTCCTTCATCCGTAAATGGAAGAAGTTTGGAACCACCAGGACTCTTCCTAGAGCGGGCCGCCCCCGGCCAAACTGAGCGATCGGGGGAGAAGGGACTTAGTCAGGGAGGTGACCAAGAACTTGATGGTCACTCTGACAGAGCTCCAGCGTTTCTCAGTGGAGAGAGGAGAACCTTCCAGAAGAACAACCATCTCTGCAGCACTCTACCTATCAGGTCTGTATGGTAGAGTGGCCAGACGGAAGCCACTCCTCAGTAAAAGGCAAATGACAGCCCGCCTGAAGGACTCTCAGACCATGAGAAACAAAATTCTCTAGTCTGATGAAACAAAGATTGAAGTCTTTGGCCTGAATGGCAAGCGTCATGTCTGGAGGAAACCATGTACCATCTCTACAGTGAAGCATGGTGGTGGCAGCATCATGCTGTGGGGATGTTTTTCAGCGGCAGGAATTGGAACACTAGTCAGGATCGAGGGAAAGATGAATGCAGCAATGTACAGAGACATCCTTGATGAAAACCTGCTCCAGAGTGCTCTGGACCTCAGACTGGGGCGACGGTTCATCTTCCAACAGGACAACGACTCTAAGCACACAGTCAAGATAAAGGAGTGGCTATGGGACAACTTTGTGAATGTCCTTGAGTAGCCCAGTCAGAGCCCAGGCTTGAAACCCATTGAACATCTCTGGAGAGATCTGAAATACCCCCATCCAACCTGATGGAGCATGAGAGGTCCTGCAAAGAAGAATGGGAGAAACTGCCCAAAAATGGGTGTGCCGAGCTTGTAGCATCATACTCAAAGACTTGAGGCTGTAATTGGTGCCAAAGGTGCTTCAACAAAGTATTGAGCAAAGGCTATGAATGCATGTGTTTTTTTTTTTTTGTTTGTTTGTTTCTTTTTAATTTGCAAAGATTTCAAACAAATTTATTTCACGTTGTCATTATGGGGTAATGTTTGTAGAATTGTGAGGAAAATAATGAATTTAATCCATTTTGGAGTAAGGCTGTAACATAACAAATGTGGAAAAAGTGAAGCGCTGCGAATACTTTCCGGATCTCAATAAATTAGAATGTCATGGAAAAGTTCATTTATATCAGTAATTCAACTCAAATTGTGAAACTCGTGTATTAAATAAATTCAGTGCACACAGACTGAAGTAGATGATAAATAAGTTGTTGGCTGCAGTTCACTTAACGGCTACACCGGGTCGCTAATAAGAAGGGTTTCTAAAATCTGCATAGTTCCTTTAAATAAATTCCAAGTATGACTTAAAGGAATAGTTGTATAAATAGTTGTAAAAGAATGTATGCTGTGGGTGTGTTTTTATTATATTATTTTTAACCTGGTGTCGTTGCAGACATCCTGGCACCCAGTATGTTTATTGGGTGAGGGGTCTGTGAATGTTTGTTAATCTAATGAATAATTGATTTGTTAAATCAAATGAAAAATGGTGTGTCTGATTGGTCCAGACGCTACATCTGTGTGTGGTGGCTCTTGATGCCTTGACCCCAGCCTGAGTTGAATTACTGAAATAAATGAACTTTTCCACGACATTCTAATTTATTGAGATGCACTTGTACTGTTCTGATTTATATTCAGTTAGAAAGAACAAGTAATCATTTTCAGATGTTTATCCAAAGTGATTTACAATGTGACAACAACCTGTGGTTATAGATATACACACACACAATGAAATTTTATACTGCATTTTACATACAGCCTATACTCTGGTGAACAACTTAGCATAGTTTGCTAACGGTAAGCTTAATTTGCATATAAGCTCCTGTTACATCAGTTCACTCCCTACACGCGCACACACACACACTTGTTTCTGTCATGTACAGCCATAATATATGGAGATATATTGCATTTTTTGCACTTTTTGTCACCTGCACTCATAGTTTCCGGTTTCCCCTCAAGCATCAAATTACAGTATTTACAGTATGTCAACTCACACAGATAGAGACTAACCAAGAACTAAGAAAGTCTTTCCATCATTTGGTAATTTTTAACCTAAATATACTCTGTAATTCAAAATGAAACCATAAAAGTAAGCAGGAAAAGGTTCTGATTCATTTGTAGATCATGCTGTTCCAGTGAATCCCAAATAAAGGATCGAAAAGGAAACAGAAAACAAATTCTTTGGAATCTTTAATGTCTATCTTTCCAAGGAAAGACACAAACAGTGCAGACATGCACTCACACAGATACATTCAGCCATTCTTTGGAAAACTTATGCACCGGCATAACTCGTTTTTTTACAAAGTGACATCACAGCTCAGCTGTATTTGAATCTCTCCTCCACACTCCAGTGAACAGAAAAGCAAGTTCTCACCAGCTAAAACACTACGAAATGGCAACTCGGCCGTCTCACTTTGAGGAGAACCTTCTGTGCCCTGTTTGCCGTGACATCTTCAGAGATCCCGTTCTCCTGCTGTGTTCTCATAGCTTTTGCTGGGCCTGTTTGGATCAGTACTGGGAGCTCAGCGGCTCACAGATATGCCCTGTATGCCGGACAGACTTCTGCATGGACCGTCCTCCATGCAACCGTGCTTTGAAGAACCTGTGTGAGATCTTCCTGCAGGAGAGAAGCAAGACTGCGTCAGCGGAGCCCGAGTTATTCTGCAGTGCGCATGGAGAGAAACTTCAGCTCTTCTGTGTGGAGGACCAGCATCTCGTGTGCAGCGTGTGTGTGACAGACGACATGCATGTTAAACACACATTCAGACCTGTGGATGAAGCTGCAGTGGCTCTCAAGGTACATTATCCAACTGCTTTTTTAAGAAAAATATTACTTTACATTTACTTTTTAGTTTAAATTTAAGATATTTTAAGAGCATATCATTTCACTTTAACTTACAGACATTCATAAGCAGTTAGAAATTTCACATATTGATAAAAAAAAACAGATTTTGTACTAAATTTTTAGTCATTAAGCTTTTTAAGAACAGTGCAAATTCTTTAAAAAAGTTTGAATTGAGTAAGCCCTGAATATTGTAAATAAATTGTATTTCCATGTTTCTTTTCAGGAGGTGTTCAAAACAAGCCTGAAGCCTTTGCAAGAGAAGCACAAACTCTTAAAATTAGAAAAATTCATCTGTAATCAACGAGTGAAACACATCAAGGTAAAATCAGCAGCTGCATGTTCTACAGAAATGAGTAACAATTATGTAACTTTTATCTTTGTAATGTGTTACAGAATCAAGCTGAGCAAACAGAGGCACATATTAAGAAGGAGTTTGAGCAGCTTCGTCAGTTTTTGCGTGATGAAGAGGCGGCCAGGAAAACCGCTCTGAAGGAGGAAGAGGAGCAGAAGAGGAAGCTGTTAGAGGAGCAGATGATAAGAATTAACAGTGAACTCTCATCTCTGGTAGAAAGAATTAGGATCACTGAGGAAGAGATAGAGACCGACAACATCTCATTCCTGCTGGTACGACCAATTATTTATTATTCTTTCTAACCAGGATCCAAATTTTTTATTTGAACATTTCTTTATTAGACGTATGTATTTGATTAATAGTCAAATATTAATCATTTAGTTATTTGAACAAAAGCACAATAAAGACAGTATTATAATGAAATATTATTACAAGTTAAAATAAATGTTTTCCATTTAAATATGTTATTACATTTGAATATAATTACATGTACTTTATTCTTGTGATCAAAGCTGAATTTTCAGCATCATTACTCCAGTCATCAGTGTCACATGATCCTTCAGAAATCACATGATTTGTTAGCATTTATCAATTTATAATTATAAACTTTTATGATTATTTGATTATGAGATTTGTTTTTAATTACAATGTCTCTTGGTCATTTCCATGTACATCCATCTGAAGAAGTACAAAGGCCCACCTGAAAGGTAAGTGTGATTTTCTCTCTCTTTTTTTTTTAAAACCCTGACTGTTTTGATTGGGACCCAAAATGAGCACTGACTGAGGATGTTCTTCCAGCTCTCAGTGCACCAGTCCCTGTCCAGAGAAGCTCCCAGAAGTGCTGATCAATGTGGCAAAGCACCTGGGAAATCTGAAGTTCAGCGTATGGCAGAAAATGAAGTCTGCTGCTCAATACAGTGAGTCTCATGAATCAATAGTTCCATGAAGAACCTTTAACATCCATGGAATCTTTCCATTCAACAAAAGGTTTTTCATTGTGGAAAAAGGTTCTTTAGATTTTTAAAACGGCATTCACACTAAGAAAAAAATATTTTATATGGTTATTTTATGAAAACCCATTTCCACCATGGGATAAAAATAAATAAATAAAATAGGTAATTAAGGCTTTTTTTCTCACAATTTTAGGTTTCTACCTCAGTTTCTCTGAAATCTAAGTTTGTATCTCATAATTCTGTTCTTTTTTTCTCTCTGAATTCATAGTTTACAATACAAAGGTAATTGTGATTTTTCTCTCACAATTGCAAGTTTATATCTCACAATTATACTTTATATCTCACAGTTATGTATATAAAAAAAAAAGTCAAAATTGTAAGATTTATACTCGGAATTCTGAGATAATTAAAAAGGTAATATGACTATTTTATCTTGCAATTCTGACCTTTTACATCTTAAGCCCCGTTCACACCAAGAATATTCCAACGATATCGTTTCTCTTTGTCTTTATCGTTATAGTTGTGGTGTGGACTCACCAAATGTGGAACGATTTTTAGAACTATATCTTTATCGTTATCTTTATAGTTGTCGTCCTTGGTGTGAACGAGCCTTTACAATTCAATTTTTTGTCACAGAATAATATGGTAGTCTAATTGTGATTTACCCCCCTCTCAGAGCCAGAGTAATTTTTATATTTATGGTATCTCACAATTCTGATTTTATATCTTGCAGATCTGAATTTACATCTTGCAATTCTGAAAAAAAAAGTCAGAATTGTGAGACAAAGTCACAATTACCTTTTTTTCCATGGCAGTTACCTTTTTTATTTTTATTTTTTCCTGTGGTGGAAACAAGCTTCTATACTTTTAAGAACTGTTCACTGAATGGTTCTTATGAAACAAACAATGGTTCTTCTATTGCATCAGTATGAAAACCCCCTTTTAGAACCATAATTTGTGTAAAGTGTAATCTAAAATATATTGTAAACCTATTTAATTTATGTGAAAAGCAAATGCCATGGCATCCTCTTCCATCTGTAGTTCCTGTTGTCCTCGACCCCAACACCGCTCACCCATGCCTGCATCTATCTGACAATCTGAGCGATGTGAGGTTTGGTCAGTGGAGTCGACAAGCCTGGGGTTACTCAGACAAACGTGAGGGCTATACGAGCGTCCTGGGCTCTGAGGGCTTCAGCTCTGGGACTCACTACTACTGGGACGTCGAGGTCGGTGACAACACCACCTGGGCCTTAGGAGTGATTTCAGAGTCTGCCATACGGACTCGAGACAATCTGCCCAGTTCTGGTCTGTGGCGCCTCGGCTTTCACAATGGAGCATACGGACAAGGCCTTTCAGGGGAGTTTCTCACGCCGCTCGCCGTGAAACAGAAGGTCCAGCGCGTCAGAGTCCAGCTGGACTGGGACGGAGGGCGAGTGTCGTTCTTCAATCCTCTCACCGACACGCATCTCCACACCTTCACGCACGCTTTTAGCGAGAAAGTGTTTCCGTACTTCTGTAACGTGTGTTCGTCTCAAGCTCTGCGCATCTTGCCGGTGGAAATGGCTCCAGCAGGACTGGAGGCACAGAGATTTTCTGCATTAACCAACAAAATAGAGAAGTAAAAATCCTGTTCATTTTCTACGCAGAAAATGAATGAGAGAAAATGAATAGAAAAAGTGAATAGAGTTTTTTTTCCATAGGAAAAATTACTGTGAAAGCTGCTGTGATAGGCAGAGCTTATATATATATATATTCAAAAGACATTACTGTGAAATCTGCTGTGATAATTAGTTTCTTTTTTTACTTTCACCGACAAGAAGTAAACCATTTGTCACAAAAACGCGCGCACACACACACACACACACACACAAAATCATAAGACAGCACTCAGGAGATTATGTGATGTGATGTAAGATTTTCACTTTAGTTGTCCAGTGCAGTTTGATGTTGTCTTGTTATTTTTTGGCATTTAAATATTATTATTTCAGATATTTATGCTTAACTGTGAAGTGTTTTTTTTTTTTTGGTAGCGTGACAAACAATCCTGCTGTGAATTGTAACATATCTAACATCTATGCCTGTAATTATGAAGAACCTTCCCACCAAAAACACTCAACACATTGCATACATATAGCTCTGTGTCAAAGAGTACACTCTCTTGGTTCTTTCTTCTGTTTTATATTTATAAATATTTATAAATACAGAATAATACCGAATGAATGTTTTTTTAGTACTTTCTTCTGTGGTTATGAAGTTATGAAGCCTTGAAAAATAAATTGATCTATTGTCCAATCTATTTTGTCACCAGGCTGTTGATTAAATTAAAATGCTTGCCAGCTAATACAAGATTTATTGTCTGTGAGATCAGGGAAACTGTAACAATATTATGAAATACACACAAAAAAAATTTATGATAAACTGGAAAATTGGATGATTAAAACATATAGTATTATATAAGTATAAAAATATACTGTTAAGTATCTAATTAATGGGACTCAATGTTTTTAGTTTTGTGACTCATCAGCTGATTGATATATTTTCAGTGCAAAAGAATTGAATGCATTTCCAATAGTAATGTAGATCACAATTAGTACGTTACTTTAAAGACATATTAGAAATAAAGAATACAAAGAAAAAAGAAAAGAAAAGCTGTTTAGCGATATTAATAAGTGTTTAGCAGATAAGCAAGTTTTAAGCAATAATATTATTTGGGATTTCAATTTAAATGATCAATTATTCGAAGTGTGTTAATAGCCTAAAGTTTGCCATATGAGGCCTTTTACTAAAAATAGTATAAACTACAAATCAGATGACAGAAGGAATGTAGATTGCGTGCTGAGGTCTTTCAGCAAAGTTTTTATCATGGTGATCATTTAGATGCTTTAGAAACAACCGAGTATGTTTTAAAGGGTTAATAGTAATATTATTGACACATATGAATTATTCTAATAGCAAAAGATAATGGGTAGACATAGGCTGTGAATTATGAAGGAAAGACCTAGACAATCGCCCATCAGCCGCTCTAGAAAATGCGACAGTCATCACTTTTAATGACGAGCACCAGATTTGCATGCACTGGATTCCTCGTTTTATACTAAAATGCCCTGGAGCTTTTTTTAATTTGTGTGTGCTTAACTGTTCTTAAGCAATGATTAAACTGTGAAGTCTTCCTCATGGTTTCAGCTACACATATTCAAATCTGCATAGTCCAGGTCACTGATTGTTCATTGGCTCTTCTCTAGAAACCACAGTCTTTGGCATTCAGCTTCTACATTATAGTGCACTGCACTCAACAGTGCTACAATGACAGTAATTAGAGCATGACTCCTGACATGTTATCTCAGCATCTGTGATGGTCTCTAATTGATTTCCTCCTATGAGACGGACAAAAATGTTGTGTAAATGCCAGAGAGGCATTCCTCTGAACTACTGCGCACATTTGTAACACTGCTGCCAGTAACAGCGATATTCAAAACAAGCTATTAATGACTGAGTACTGTCATGTGAGGCATTTGAAAAATAGCTGTAAATGTTTGAGCATCATGCAAAACAGGACCTACAGAACAGGTATTGCTGGAATTTCAAATAACACTATAGAGAATAACACTTTTATCAATCCTATAACATATATATAGATATATATTCCTATAACTTGAAAATAAATCTTCTAAATAAAATTTAATTTAATACAAATATGCCAAAGATGTATTACCCGTTAATTAATTCAAAAATAATTTTTACTGTGGTGCACAATATATTTTCAGGTTATGAGTTTTGAGCCTTGGAAATATGAATTATTGCTTTTATGAAACAAAACTATACAAGGTTTCTGCAGATCTTAAAAAGTCTTAATTTACCCTTCCACAAATTCATAGTCATGGCATTAAATATTAAATACACTGCAAAAAAATAATATCTTCCTCAGTGTTTTGCCTTGTTTTCCCAGTATAAATGTCTAACCATTTTAAAGTTATGATATATTTACAAAATGTTACAAAATTAAGTGATACATTTTTCTGAGCCCATTTGGCAGATATTTGTTCTTGTTTTAATTATAAACTTGCTTCATTTTGATCGGTTTCACATACATTTTTTTAAATGATCTTTTAGAAATTTTTATTAATCTTTATACATTTGCACTGGAAAACACGACAAAAATAGGCTACTGATGAAGAACATTGCCGTGTGATCAGACGGTACATAAAAAAATTTCATATTCTAGTGATTGGGAGCAAAGCTGTTTTCTTTACTTGTTTATCTTGTATTGATAGTTTTCACGTGACGCCACACCCTTTTAGGAACGCCCACCTGGCGGGCAAAATGAAGCTTTGTTCCACTGAGCGCCAGTTATTTTTACGCAGTTTGCATTAAGTAGTAATGTAGTAAAACGCAGATATTAAAAGGCGAAATTCAGTAAACACCTTATTGATGATGTATATTTTGGACAGGCAAGCAGATGAAGCCAGAATATAAACACAATGTGCAAAGTTTCACGTTAAATGTTTTCCTATAGAAAACCATTAGAAGGAAAACACAACCATTAAGCGGATTGCGTTAATATTCCGGTGTTCTCATCTGCTTGCCTATGTAAACTGTGCATCATTAATATAGAGAGTATTATTGTTTTAAATATATTAAGGCACTTTAAGTGTTTTTACGTTTTGTGCACTGTTTAATGATTGAAATATTGCCGCGGGTGCTTATGGATTGCAAATGGCCAAAACTTGCATTTTGTTCACATACCTTTGTTTTATTCTTTTGAGAGGTGATCTAAATATTTGCGGCTGTGAAACAGATGGATAATTGGCAGGCTTGTCCTGCAGTTCTATGGATGTTTTGCCCTCCAGGTCTTCGAGCCGGTCACGTGACTGAAAGCTATGATTTTCCAAAAGCTCTTGGAAAACAAGTTTCCAAAGCAACACGCACACCGCTAGGTCTGGCGGTGTTCAAGTTTTCGTCAGTTATGCAAAATCCCATACTGTTATCAACCCTCAAATCGACGAACGAACAGGGCGACTTCGCAGTAAAATTCCTGGGAAATGGTATGTTTATCTTCTTGTACTTTATGGCGCACAATATAGGTCTCTGGCTCCCTCTAGCGATCACAACTGACAACTTGATAAAATAACTAGAAGCAGTGCTTTTATTCACAGGCCAAAACTGAGCAAAAACACGCAACTTTATGTAGTTGCAAAGTAAGAGAAAATTCTGATAGCTTGTAATGTAAGTCAAAAAGATAATTGGTAACAGCATCAGCAAAATGCATCTACTAATAAAATGCATTGGCTATACTGTAAACAGGCTATCAGTCGTCACTCTATAGGCCTATCTCCCAATAATGTCTTAATAAGATTATATTTAATGCTTAGTTTTATGATCAAAGCTCTGTAGTTTCAAAACATATAATGCAATGCAATACAGTCAGGCCCGGATTAAGAACACATGGGCCCCTGGGGCTATAGCAAACCCAAGGCCCCCCTTCATAGTAGCCTATCTTGGTGCCACAACGTTTTCTACAACAGGAATAATTTTTTTTAATCAAATCTCCAACACACATATATACAATGTGTATGCACACTAAATATTCCAGGCTACAACACATTAAAAGAATAAATACATTAACACCAGATGTATGAAGTCAAAGCAAACATTTTTCCAGAAGCAGCAACAACTTTTGAGCATATACAGCTCCCTTAAGGAGTTTAGTTTAAACAGTTGTATTATTAGAAGGTCATCTTTCTGGCCCTAGAAGAGGAGAATCATCAGGGCTGGACTGGTGCTAAAATTCAGCCCATCTGGCTCACACAGTCCCCCATCAATGTTTTGCTGGGGTTAGGGCAATTGGAATAAATTATATATTAATAAATAACGGACGAAAACAAATGATATTTTTGAATACTTAAAATGCATTTAACAATATTAATATTCCATTATATTGCAGGCTCTTAATTATTTAATTCATATTTTTCTGCAATTAAAGTTTATTAGAACTATTCAATTGTCCTTTGTAGTTGCCCTAATGAAAAGCTAATTCTTGAATCCAGAGTTAACTATAGCAGCCTATTAGTAAACCTTTATACAATTTACTTATTGCCTTTATTTAAACCAATATTTAATAGGCTATAAGTATCCTATAACAATTTTCGTGACATTAATAATAAATATCATTAACCATATTTCTATAGTGTCAGTAAATGCATGTTAAATAGCCTGGTGCTGTGGATTAAATTGCTTATTTACAGTTTTGTACATGTTTACCTCTACACTTCAGTTTACATGGTCGGTGCCATTCAATCTGCTTTCCGCTAGCTTCACCACAGAGACTTTACTGTTCAAATATAAGTGTCGTGTGTGGAATTCAAATGGGCGAGCGCTGCTTATTATCACTTCAGCGGCGAAAGCGTCGAGCTACGGTACACCGGCAGGAGACACCGGTCCGGTGTGGTCCAGCTGTTCTCTTGCGCTGCGCGGTTTAATCAGGTAACTTTCATCACTTGGCTTTTAGTGAAGAGACTTGAATTTTAACGAAAAGCCAAGTTTCATCACTTGGCTTTCAGTGTTTGTTTGCGCTACAGTAAAGCCGAGGCGATTAAAAGATACCCGCAACTAGTGTAAACGAGTA